CAGAAACAATAAGGGCCCAAGAACCGAGCCTTGTGGAACTTCAGAAAACGCTTCTAGACGTTAGTTTTCAGTCGGCCTTACGGAAGCCTATTTATATCTACCACTTACCACTGGCGATGCCAATCTCCAGGGAACTATCGTGTTTTCAGCATTACCATCGAGATGGCACTATGAGTTCGCATAGCCATATTGTAACGACACGGCGACATGCGCTCATGCATTGATCTCCCATGTGTACTTTGCCCCACTGAGGGTTAAAGGGGGGGGGTAGACCCTCGTGCGTGCACATGCTCATCTCGTGATAGAGAGAATCGTAAGCCTTAGGCATCCTCTGGACACGGTTCTTTGTAGTTACCGGGCCTCCGTTTGCGAAAAGGGTGCTTATTTATATCCAAAAAGGGAGACACTTATTTTGCGTTCGTCTGTACCTGTATGTCTTGTGCATCATTCGTGCTTAAGCAACGTGGCGTACGTTTCGATCTGCTTGTCATTCTTCGCGTGATGTTCCAATTTGTTGCTATCGCATTCACTGCTTGGCCTTTACAGCAAAGCTTTCATTTTTCGGACTTTCAAAGCATGAAACAGCTTTGAAATGGTTGCACGCAACTGAAGTAGCGACTTACCAAAGAACATGTGACCCATATGAAATGCATCCATCTTTTAACATCTCTGAAACAATTTGTTCAATTCAGAGCTGTTGTAAGAAGATGGCATTTACTCCCAGTTTTGTAATTGGTAAGGAAGGTGTAGGCTTGAACAATAATCACTGAGGAAACTGTGCAACAGAGCAGACAGTTTTGGTTCCTTGATTGGTAACCTGCGACATTGTGCTGCAAGGGCCACAGTGCTTCTGGAGATCTGTTGCAAACTTCATAAAAGTTTAAAAAAGCTAGATACAATAAACAAAAATCCTAATGACTTGCAAAAATTGGCATTGTTTGCCACATGTCTGCTTACACGACTCTTAATTCAAGTTTCTTTTAACATTACGCTTGTTTAACCTTTTATTGCACAGTGTTGACAATTTGCGACATACCGAAAAATTTCAAGTAAGCAAGTCGCGAAATGCACGACTTCTTTTACACCTGCTGTCAAGTAGGGAGTAGTGAGGAACATAGCTTTCAGCAAGGAAACTAGCATCGTCTCGTGTAAGATATTCTATGCTAGAATCAAGTGTTAGGTGATGGCAGAGGACACGAACCCTGGCATCTGCTCTTACGTTCTTTCTCGCCTGAGTGACGCAAGTGCACTCTTCTATAATTTTGTTTAATTAATGTGTATGCAACAAAAAGGTGGCACATGACATGTATAGTTCTTCAATAAATTTTTTGTTGCAAGATTCTCACTTCTGTGGTGTATCACAAATTTGTGACATACTTAAAAGTATGCAACGAAGTTTCACTTTGGATAATAAAACTGCGGAATCAGTTGGCAGGTTGCCATTTCAAACTTGAAGATGAAATTTCTTCTTTCTTTGGCATAATTCAGGTATCCATTCTCGCGTGCATGCTTGTTTTCGTAAACTAGCGTAGCGGCCATGGTATCTACCCAGCAAATCGGCCAACTGTTGTGGATGTAGGTATACGGCATAATTTGTAGAGAGAAGAGACAGTGATTTCAGGCTGAGCTTGAGAATTGTAAATTCTGGGCTGTGCTCAGTTTGGCGTGCATGTTCTTTGGAGCCTCGACTAGCTGCTTTTTCTGACCATGCAAGAAGTGTTGCTTTGTTTCCAAATAGTGGTAACTACCGTTAGATCCCAAGCCCTCTCACCTGCCCACTCCTTGTGAAGAATAGTTTGATTTGGAGGGGGGACCCTTGCTCGGTCATGGATCAAAATTCAAGGTGGTGGCAGAGAAGAGCTGCTAAGGATAGAGAATGCACACTTGTGCTTCTAATTAAATGCTGTATTGCATGTGCAAGCATTCACTGTTTTCATTCACACTTAAAAACTGTTAGAGGGGAGCAAACAATGCATATTTGAAATCTCCGGAGAAAAAGGTAGGGGGGGGGGGGGGTGCTTGCTTGGGTAGGGGCACTTTGAGCAAACTATGCATATTTGAAATCTCCCGAGAAAAAGGGAGGGGGGGGGGGTGCTTGCTTGGGTAGGGGCACTTTCTCGGTTTTTTACTGTGCAAAAATCCTAGATGCTTGTGTAACGGTGTCAGCATGTACATGAGGCTGAAGGCTATGATGACAGCCACTTTTTCTGTATGTTGTGCCTTATAAGCACCAGAGCCAGCAATGGTAGAACCCACTGGTGTTGGCACTATCATTTGACAGATAGATTGCCTTTGGCAGTCTGATGCCTGGCCTCTCACTTCTGCAGTACGCAGCAGTGCAACAGCTGCACTTAATGTGCCATTCGGTACAATTATCTATTTCTGCGCTGAGCTGAGCTAAAACCAATAAATTCGCTCAAATGGTGCAACTCTGCCAGAATACCCAACCAGCATAAAAATTCTCAGTTGTGTCAGTTTGAGCTATAAATACGAGACACAGCCACCTGCAGCTTAGGTATCAACCTAGGAGTACAGACCCAAACCCTAAACCGCGGTCTAACATAATGCTATATAGGTGTGCACACTCGCAAGATGCAATCATAAAATGCCACGCGGCCCAACATTTCCTAAAAATGTTGGCACGGCCGTCAGTCCGCTGACTGCAACTGGCACCTAACGATGGGGCTACGCAACTTTCAGCTACGGTGGCATCACCACACGGCAATAAGCGAAAGCAGTGATGCGGTGATAGAACAAAACTTGCCTGCTGATAACATGCGAGCCATGCTTCATCGTCATGTCTCACAGCTTCTTTCGTGTGCGGCAACTCAATTATGATGAATTTTGTTTGTGCAAGATTGCATAACTTTTGAGCTGCAGTAATGGGCTAATATAAGAGCAATCGTTTGTGTTGGGTGCTGCAGTGCTCAAAATGCACCGTGGAAGGAGTCGTAAGCGTGCCTGGCTTTCTTTTCAGCTGGCGACGTAAAAAGCGATCTGCTACCCAACTGTATATCGAGAAACTTGTCACAATAATGTTCTGGTTATCAGTGTGCATTTGGAATTTGCTGACTTCTGGGACCAAATAGAATTTGCTCGCATGTTGTGTATAAAAACTATTATGACGAGACATCGTAGTAAGGACATCCGGATTAATTTACTACTTGGGGTTCCTTAAGGTGTTCTTACTTCTGTAGCTCACCGTTGTTCTTTTGCATTTAGTGCCACTGCAATTCCGCTGCCATGGCTATGAACCCGAGCTCGCGCCACCGAGCTCGGCAGCACAACATTTTGCATGCTGTGCTCCCATGGTGGGTACACGCGGAACAGTCCTCCGCAACTACTCCTGCAAGCAGCAGATGAGTGGACGTCGTGGCCCTCCTCCATTAAGCGCAAGAATTTAATATGATTGAGATTTGTAGGCCAATTCTTACATGTGCAAGCAGTTTTAAGTGCAACATTGAAATGAAGAGCGAAGGAGGAAGCAAAGTAAGCCGGTTAGGCAAATACGGTCGTTACTTACCTGTGAAATGCCCTAGCTGTGTCTGTGCTGTTTTGTAATAAGTGGCAACTGGAGAACTGCTTTATTTGATTAGGAAATGGTTTGCGTTGTAAAACAATTGTAGCCAGTCTTTTTCGTGCCAGCAATAGCGGCACTGCAGTGGAATGCCCTAGGCATCATCAATCTCGAGGGTCAGAGTGGTAAAGAAATTACCGGCAGCACAAGCGACTCTACATTAACTGGCTTTCGTGCTGTTTAGTGTTGTGGATATGCGGTCGTGCAATCACAGGCCTGAGCAGATGACAAAAATTTGTTGAGTTAGAAGCACGCTGATAGGCCGATTCATTGACCCAGTACGACGGATCATCACATACTGGTTGCTGCACAAGTTTTGAAAGTTGAATCCAAAGCAAGATTGTACCATGTGTCTTACATTTCATGCACTCAAGCACGAGCTGCTTCCCTCATTGACAGCTCAGTGCTGTGGAAATTGAACATTTTCGGAAAAGTGAGCGCCCCCGTCGAGTACACAGAAAAGCTTCGCTCGTACTTTTGGTTGGAAAACATTTTCGCCAAGTAACATGCTCAAAGCAGTGTTTAGCGATTCTTGTTTTGTTGCTTTAGAGTCAAAAACGCATGCCCATTATTGAAAAAAAACATGGTAATCGAGAAAAACATTTCATTTACGTTTGTATAGTAGGTGTCAAACGAGAATCTCTCACGCTTTAGCTTGAGCAACAACCAAGTGAGGTTATGCCACGCCGCAGTGGTCTAATGGCTAAGGTACTCAGCTGCTGACCCGCAGGTCGCGAGATAGAATCCCGGCTGCATTTCCGATGGAGGCGGAAATGTTGTAGGCCCGTGTGCTCAGATTTCGGTGCACGTTGAAGAACCCCAAGTGGTCTATATTTCTGAAGCCCTCCACTACGGCGTCTCTCGTAATCATACGGTGGCTTTGGGACGTTAAACCCCACATATCAATCAGTGTCGCCAAACAACACTTTCAACACGTGTGCCGTGGCGATGCACTCGCGACTAGGCGGCGGGAAGTATATAGACTGCTGGAAAAGACTCTGAAAAGAAAAATGGTGGCCATCACATCATAACTTGTTCATCATAGCATGGTGATGCGAGGGAAGTAAGGGGTTCCCATGGAGCCCTTTTTGATGCTGACAATACCTTCAAAATTGCTGTAAAATACCTTCCAAGCTATTTTCTCTGTTGATATTTCACAGATCATATACGCTTGTTGACGGCAATCAATTGTGCAGCCTATCTCGGCCATGAAATCTTGTCAGTACCTCTTTCTTGGTGTTTGCATTGGAGCAGCATTTTCTGGTTGCATCTGAATGAGCATCTGGACTAAACAATTGTAGATGTAATTTTCTACTGTCCAAGCGATGCCAAACTTTATTTTCTCTGCCTAATACACTGCTTCAACCGTGCTCGGGAACAGCAGTCTTTGGTTTCTTATAGTACTACCGTTTGCTTATTATAGCTCCATCTGAAATGAGGGGAAGAGAACGTAATCGCCGGACTCGCTCTCCTCATGGCCATGGGCGTCATGATGATCGTGGCCGGAAGCGATCGCGCAGTCGCTCTCCCTATGCTCGAGACAAAAGTCCCAGGTAAGTGAACCTTGCTTTTGTTACCTGAGCCTCAGTATGGCAGCATTAAAAACATCATGGGGTTGCTGTGCTATATGGTTGGTCAGACCATTCGCACAGTATTGAGGGAAAATATAAGATGTTTTGTTAGCAGCTTATAAGTCGGCGCACACGCAGCATATGAGTGCTTGTTTATAGACGCTGTCTATTAACAAACTGGCGTGAGCCGAATGAATGGTTAGCCCAAACTTCTGCCGTGTCAATTCCAGTAATACTTCAATGGTGCCGGCATTGTTTGCCTGGTATGTTGGAGTTTCTTGATCTATCTCTGACGCATTTGTTCAGGGGTATGTAGAACAATGTCTAGGGACTACAGGAAGGGGCTGGACGACTTCGCACGGGAAGGGTACAAGCAGAAACAGCAGTGACAAAAAGAGTTGCCTGATCCACTGGTTAGGGAAGTTATGCAATCCAGCTTTTGGACTGGAGCTGAAAACCTGTCGCAGCCCCAGATTGGCTGATGTATTCATGTATCGCATTTACTTGCATAATTTGTGCACTTTGTTTGGCAATTTATCAAGAGCTTTGAAAAGAAGTGTGCCAATTACGCTGCGATTTCGCGATCACATTTGAAACAATGCGTACAGTCATAATGCACGTGGTACATAAAAAACAAATGTAGCACAATCGGCGCCAAAAGATTATGGGAATCCAGAAGATTCGGTTGATGACTTTGCAAAACAGAATACAGAACGAGGTTGTTCCTCATTCACAATGCCAAAAAATGGTACAAACTCCGAATATTGGACCATGAGGAAGACTCCTGGGATCAGTGAAGAGCAAGTTTCATGTCTGCTTTTGACCAAACTTATGTCGACCGATGTGGCAGAGCTATAATTTTCAACCAAAGTTCAGGCTCACTAATTGATAACTTATACGAGAAGAGACTGCTGTAGCAGTTAGCCAACACTGAGCTACCTCATTTGTCTATTATGCTTTTAGTGATCCATGGTATAACGATAGAATGTCAAAAGCAAGCGCAAACAAGAGCACTCAAGACTGTTGACCTTTTTGGATGTTTTGAGAAGGGGGCTACCATTAGATGCCAACTTTGTGGTTTATTGAGATATCTCAATGAAATTATCAGGATAGACTCCTAGAAAAAGCATTAGAGCTATAGTAGAGCCCACATATGACGGCCCCGCTTAAAACGAACAATATCCGCATGACCGTGAAAATTTACCTTGGTTCAATGGCACAAAATCTCACATCGAACGTCTCAGAGCTCCCCTGATCGTTTACAGCAAACTCCCGCTCTCCCCAACCGATTTTTGTTACGCACCCCTCTGTCCTTTCTCCCCCCACTACTCTGAGCACACCGCATCGCCAGACACGGCCCGTTTTCCCACTGCCACCCATATTTCGAAGACCGGTGGGCCATCTCTCCCGTTTTTGATCGCTAGTACTGTCGTATGCGTTGCCGGTCTGGAGTAACCAGACCATTTGCCAACATCATCGGCCACCGACTCTATTCAATCGTCTGCGTCTAGTGCACGCGCGTACGCTACGCCGCCGACCGATAATTTGCGAATCATTTCATGTTTAGGACTTGTTCTTGTTCTTGCTCACTTTGCACTCGGCTCAGCATGCCCTTCGCATGCGTGCGGAAGCACGAAAGGGGGTGTTAATTTGCGCGGAACAAATTGCAAATTATCGAAGTTGGTGAGGCCACGCAAACTTGCCGGCGCAATGAAGCAATTTTTTGAACACCGCTGCGCGCACTGATCCCGGCGGCCGTGCTTTCACTTTTGTGCGTGGAGGCACTCGAAATTTCAAGTTTTTCTATGTGCGAGTTGCGAGTTTCGCAGACCTTTCAAGCAAGCTACCCAACCTGCCTCCTTTCCGTGTGTATTGGTTTTCAAGGTCGCCCTCCCGCCACATCCTCTCCTCTCTTCACTCTATCGCAACTCCTTGCCCTTCTCTCGCAAATCTGCTCTCCCCTCTTGATCACAACTCCTTCGATCGTCTCCACCGCTCTGCGAAGCCCGCCACACTGGCTCGAATGAGTTTCGTTTTCTGGCTGGAAACAGGCCCGGAGCTGTTCCACGCGTTCTGGCATGTGTGTCGCGTGTGCGCGTCTTTTTCTTGGTGTGCGTGTGTGGTCAGGGTGGCAGACGGAGGACTTTCACACTTTTTCCTGCCGCTCAACAAAACGTCGAAAGTGTGACCTCTTGGCTTGAGCGTAATCCGCGCGTTAGGTGCCGCGTTGCGAAGCGCTTGCTCATAGCTGTGGACCACTATTTCTGTCAAAAGGACAAGAAGAAAAAAACGAGCCCCGTAACTGTCTGCATCAGAGTGTGACACCTCAATAGTAGCTCACAAGGGATGGGGGTAAGGAGGGATTAAAAGGTATATATAGAAAGAGGAAGGAGAGAGGAAGGTGCAGGGACAGCGAGTGATGGGAGTTGTCGTTGGAGATCGCGGGGGCACAACCGGTCGGCACGGAATGCAGCGAGCGAGCCAACTTGCTGCTTCGGGGGTCCCGGTATTCAGCTGTGGAGATGGTGAATGTTTCGTGGGCGGCGCTGATGGCTATATGTGCGCGAAACTGTTTTTGCGAGGCTGACTTCGTCGACGTTGGACCTGATGCCGAGCCTGAAGCTTCTGAACAGGATCACTCCAGGAGCGATTTGTGGCAGTGCGTCGTCGACTCAGACATGGGAGAGTGGGTGGGACATCTTTTGCGATAGTTTAATTGCGGCGGATGATGATGTCGACACTGCGAGACCGTGCACAGATTAGGGCATTGTAAAAGAAGTACGTGGCGAGAGTGATTTGGAGGAATCTGATTGCGAGAACGACGAAACTTTATAGCCAGTGCTTCATGCTGCTTATGCCACAGGCCTCGGCGAACGAGCACCCTGCCGTTTTAAATGAACTCGACACCGCCTTTATCGCTTCTGCTCTTCGAAACACGTGCATCACAGACTTTTGGGGCAAAAAAGTGTGTTTTTACTTGCAACTTTTAAAATATAAGCTGTGTTTCATCTACTACGAACTTCAGAATACAGCGAACAGATGCCGCGTCAGGCTCAAGTTCGTTATATGCGGGCTCGACTATACTACAAAACTTCATGAACTTATGTTCCCTGATTCTCTGGTTATGGCAGTAATGCACATGGTTCTGTTATTCCAAGCCTGGAGAACTTTCAAAAGACAATGAAACTGTGAAATTATGATGATTCTCAGATTGGTACGTCAGAGGGTTACAGAACTCTTTTTAATTTCCTTGCTGAAAAGTTTTAGCAGATTATCCAATTTACTGTTGGTGATTATGATATCATTAACATTTTGATCAAGTATCATAAGACGATATACAGTCGACTCTCGTTAATACGGAGTTCACGGAGACTGCCAAAAACTTCCAAACAGAATTTCAAATAACTAAAACAAAGGAAAAATGCATTTATTTCATAGCAGTTTAGGAGAAAAAAGTTTGGTGATTGCAGTTTGCTGTTGCCTGCTAAATCTTGCTGCACAAAGCAAGTCGTGTGGTGATTGCAGTTTGCTGTTGCCTGCTAAATCTTGCTGCACAAAGCAAGTCGTGCAGTCTGTATATGTGCCCAAAAGGTTCCTTGGCATTGCGCCCCGCCGCGGTGGTCTAGTGGCTAAGGTACTCGGCTGCTGACCCGCAGGGTGCGGGTTCGAATCCCGCGCCCTGCGGCGGCTGCATTTCCGATGGAGGCGGAAATGTTGTAGGCCCGTGTGCTCAGATTTGGGTGCACGTTAAAGCACCCCAGGTGGTCTAAATTTCCGGAGCCCTCCACTACGGCGTCTCTCATAATCATATAGTGGTTTTGGGACGTTAAACCCCACATATCAATCAATCCTCGGCATTGCTTTCTGCTGCAAAAAGCTGCTGCGCGAAGGCAAGGCCCACGGCTGCATAAGCAGCTCGCGGTTGTAGCTCACTGGCAACGTCGTCGCGTCCACCTCGCTTTCGTGACTATCCTTGCTTGGCTGAACCATTTCGACGATCTCGGCGTCGGTCAACGCACCGCACGTTTCTTTGGCCCTGTCAGTAGCAACGTATTCTTCGAAAGGGACGGCGCCGACAGCTGGCAGGGGACAGTAGACTTCAATCTCACTTGTGTCTGCTTCCCCCGCCGTACAAGACAAATCATCTTCGGCAGCTCTTGCAACGAAACCGCACACCCTAAAGCAGTTCGCACTATCCCTCAGGAGGAAGGTATATAACAGCTGCATCTTGCCGGTTCTTAGCTACGGAGCAGAAACCTGGAGACTTACAAAGAGGGTTCAGCTTAAATTGAGGATGATGCAGTGAGCCACGGAAAGTAAAGTGATAAGAGTAAACTCAAGGGTCAAGAAGAGAGCAGAGTGGGTCAGGGAACAAACCGAGGTTAAGGATATCATAGTTCAAGAAGAAATGCACATGGGCCGAGCACGTAGCGCGTTGGCAAGATAGCCGCTGGTTATTAAGAGTAACTGGCTGGATTCCCAGAGAAGGCAAACACGTGAGGGGGAGACAGTTAGGTGGGCCGATAAGATTAAAAAGTTTGCAGGTATAAGGTGGAAGCAGAAAAAACGAGACTGGGTTGATTGGAAAATTATGGGAGAGGCCTTTACCCTGCAGTGGGCGCGGTCAGGCTGATGATAATGATGATTTACAGAAAAGGTAATTTATGATGCATACTGCCCTAATATATGGTTTGCCAAAAAATTGCTTTTTCGCGATTCCGCGTAAGATTGTTTGCCACGGGTTACACGCAGCATAATTGGACCCATTCATCGAGAGTTTCTGCAGATAATGCAGCGCCAGCAGCCTCAAGAAGTTTCACTTCATACTATCAGCCTAGCAATGGAGACCTCAAGGAGATATAAAAAAAAAAAACTAATAAACGTGGGTGCGCCGCTCCACTCGTGTTAACAAAAATGAGACTTAGACTTGATTCGGTCAAATTCTCTACAAACTGTACTGATCATAAATGGAAGTAAACTCATTAGTGGACACACTAGCTTCCGCAAGCCTCATCAATAAATCAAGAAGCCAGAGGAGATGCGACAAGGTTAAATGTTAACAGTAATTTCCAGGTAAACTGGTGTGTACAAAAAAAAGAAAATGACAATAAAAGATAAAACAGGGACAAGGGCAAACTTGACCGAATTTTATTCGTATCCCTTCAAATATATTGCTACGGTGTTGCAGTTTCAATTAATTGGAGGTGAGGAAGGGAGAAGACTGTGTTGGGTGTTGATCAACTGCAATTTTGCCTGATGTACTACAGTTAAACCTCGTTATAACAAAATTAGAGGGCTGCAGGAGTTTGCTCGTTATCACCAATATTTCGTTATAGCCACAGGAGGTATTTACTGCAAATATTATGCACTTCTCCAAATCAAATAACGGGCAAAATAGCATCTCGCCTCACGGTGGTACGCAAAAAAATTACAGCATTCCGCAAATAAAAAGGGAATGTCACGCACTTTTTTTATTGCATTTCACACAGACTTAGCTGCAAGGAAATCCATAATTGGACGCTGGTGCATCTTCCTAATGTGAATAATGGCTTGCTCAGCTGTGGCTGCAATGTTCAAGCCATCTTTTCCGCCCTCGTGAGCGCCGAAGTAGCTGCACAGTATGTCCACTGCGTCTAATGCCTCCGACGTTAGTCGCCCGCATGGTAGTCTCCCGTTCGTCGACAGAGTCATCGTCGCTGGTCTCATCCAGATCATTGGTAGCGTGCACATTGTCGTCATTGGGGAACTGTTCCGTTGCCACCACTGCGACTGGTGTGAGTCCGCACTCACACCAGTCGCAGAATGACTCGCTGTCGGGCACGACACCCGCTTCACGAAGTGTCGTCCATGATGCAGAGACTTCGTCTAATGATGGCTCATCGCTGGCGTCTGATCACGCCTTGGTCAGGCGGTTGTATTTTTGCTGTGCAGTTGGCTGGAATAAACAGCAGCTCAATGTTTTGGAGCGCGGCTGCAGTGTGGTGGGCGGTTTAGTTATCTAAAACAAGGCACACCTTGCGGCTCTTGTGCCAGCTTCTCGCCCCATTCCAACAGCTATTTCGCGAAAATCTCCCTGGTCATCCAGGCTTTGCGATTGGCCATGTACTCGACTGGGAGCTGCTGCTTCCTCTTAAAGCAGCAGGGGGATGTACTTTTGCCAATTATGAAAATTGGCAGCTTTTCAGAAAAAATTGGCAACTTTTCAGAACCAGTCATGTTGGCACAAAGTAGCGCAGTGATCCGCAGCTTACTTTGTTTGCTGCCATGGCACCTCTGAGAGCTAAAGTCTTGTGCGGCAACATCTTGAAAAAGAAAGCAGTTTCTTCCGCATTAAAGATGTGCTCCGTGCTGTATTTTTTCAGCAGCCGCACGATGTTCTCTTTCACCCACTTCGTAGCCTCTGCTTCATCAACAGATTGTGATTCGCCGCATACCACTCTCCCGGCGATGTCGTGCCGCTGGAGCCAACCCGATCTTGCAACGAAGTTATCGTGGCCCATGATGCAGGCGAAGTTCCTTGCTTTTGTTTGTAGCATGGCACCGCTCACCGGCAGATTCATGGTCCGCGTGTCCGAAAACCACTTAAAAATGGCCCTTTCAACTGCTTCAAAGGCAGCAGTCCTTATCCTTTTAACGTTTCCTTTCACGCCATGCACAACAGTGTCAATGGTGGACTCCTGCTTGCTCAAGATCGTGGACAGTGTACACGTCGACACGTCAGTCACTTGTCACTTGGCTTTCCTTTGTTCCCGCCTCAACGGCTTTTATCATAGCCACCTTCTGATCTAGTGTTATACGCTTTCGCTTCCCGCCTGGTGCATTCATATTGCTGGAATTACAAGCACCGCATAATCAAGATAGGGCAGAAGCACTAAAAAAAAACACGCACGCAAAAAAACCACGCGGCTAATGTTGGCGAGTGAGAACACTTGCCTTGCAGTGGTTGCATGCAGGCCTGCCGCTGAGGGGATGTTGCGAGTGGGCTCGCGGGTGCAGAGAGAGAGAGAAATTAGAGTGGAAAGGGTTCTCTTCACTGCAACCTGTTAGGGAGCACGACTCAGCGCTGTGAAGGGGAGAGGAAGAATATAAAGAAGACACAAAAGAAAGAAGCGAAAAGGGCGAGACGTTCGCGGAGTTGTGGAGTCCTCGGCTGTGGAGCCAAGCGGCGCACGTGCAATGCCCGTGCAACGCCCTCTCCTCCAGAAACAGCATGCACTTGGTGTGCCTCAGCTTGGCGCGCGTTGCTGAAGGATGCGTGGCGGGAGTTTTGAACTGCTGAAGTTGCCGCCTTGCGTACCATCTCACATTCACGTTTTGCACTGTCATAATGTCGGCTCAGAATTTTATTTCCGAAGATTTGTTTGTTAAATCCCATAACTGGCAAATTTTACCTTGTTAAAACCAGGTTTTAAATACAATAGTTTCTATGGGAACTTTCAAGGGGAATAACGATTTGCTCGTTATATTCATTATTTTGTTATAACCCATCTCGCTATAACTAGGTTTGTACTTCCGACTGTAAACATCTCTGAAATATACCCGCAACATTTTGGTGGAGGTGCTGGGCCAATACTCGCAAAACTACCATCTTTTCTCTGTCCTTGTCTGTATTTGCGCACATCAGTTTACCTTAAAATATGAACGAAGTCGCCCAGCTGAAAGTTTGAGTGATCACATTAGAGTTATGATGGATCCTGTCGAACACTGCATGTTTGGACGACAGCTAATGTACGTTTGGCTGGGAAGGACTTTATTATAGAAGCCTTTGACCCACAGAATTGGTCACGTGTCTAAACCATGTCTGTGTTTTTGTTTTTTTTTTTAAGGCGAAGCCGGAGGCACTCTTACAGTCGATCTCGCTCACGCTCAAGGTCACGGGACAGAAGGAGACAAAGTTACTCTCCTAGGAGGTGAGGCATTTTCAGTTGTTGAAGGCTGCACTTGTTGGTCTCTCTAGCGGAGGTAACGCAACCATTCGGCTCCAGGCATTGCTTACTGAAGCAACCTAAAGACCAAAGGTTTTCAGTGGTGGGGAATCTTGCGCCAATCAGAAATTACTGTGCCATACTTTTTTAAAGGGTGTGTTTTTTCTAATTTGTGCCATTGCTGCATCACAAGGTGGTTTTCGAAACGAGAGTAATGTTAACAGCATGCATTGTGAGCGGATATTGCGTGATAGTCGCCATCTTTTCACGCTTGTACTGCTTCAAAAGCATTGCATTGGCCGATCAATTATTAGCGTGGTTGCAGTGATGTTTTTAGTGGTAAGTAGTGACAAAGAAACGAAGGAAATGTGGTGAAAAGTGCACCAGTATGACTTATCGCCAACAAAAAGCACACCGTCTTCTAAAGTGCGTGTGATTGTTGCCACAACCGCTATGGACAAAACCACGGTCGCTCCTGACACGTTCATGTATGGCGCCGACGTAACTGACAGAACCCCGAAATGTGCGCTCAATCATTCAAAGCAACGCTGCTTTGCGTCAACTCTGCGGACAAAACTACGCAGATGCTATTGTAGATGGCATAAAACGATTATCGTAGATGGCATAAAATGAACTACCGTTTGCCACAACCGCTGCGCACAAAACCTCGGTCGTGGTAACGCGATAGCGATCTACGAGCTCCGAGGGCACGCAGCGGTAGGTTAAAGGCAGCAAATACGTAAAGAATAACATTTACAGTTTCACCGCAAGGATGAAGCAATAAATGTGACAGCAACAACTTGGAATGTAACGCTTAGAACGGCAAGCAGATCAAAACGTGCAGCGCGCTGCTCACGCACAAATGACGCATGGAAATGATACTCGCAGGACGAGAGTGAACTAACGTTTACCGCTTGACCCTTAGTGCGCTGTTTAAACGAACAATGCACGATACGTAATCACAGGTACTGATGAGTAGAAATTGGCAAATGTCCCGGTTGTTATACCTCGCTGTGTATGAAAAGCACGCTGTTTTTGCAAAGGGGCCTGTGCAGAGACCAAGTGGCCTTTGTGGGCCTGGCAACTAACGCTTTTGTTTCAGTGAAGGCCTAAGGCACACAATTCCCCCATCAAAGGATAAGCGTGCGTGCAGAGGCATCCATCCATGGGGCAAAGTACACGCGAGAGATAAGCAAGCGTCGGCGCATCGCGGCGAGCTTGGCAACGAGCGTGGTTGGCTTTCTTTCTTTGAGTGTTCATATATACATATAGATATACGGTGAAGGACGGCGGCAGTGGCAACGGCAAAAAAAACAGCCTTGACTGTCCATATAATTGCTATCCCTTTAAAAAGGGGCCAGGCATGTTTTGGCGTTCCTGTCAAAAGAATGTAGTAGGGAGCAAAGTCTTGACTCGTTCTTTTGCTGCGGCCAGCTGAGTCGTCCCGTCCGTTAACGTGTGTCTCAGGAAGACGCACGCGAGTTTTGACAGAAATAGATTCTGCTAGTTGTGTTCATCCTTTCATACTCTTACCTTAGTGCAAAACTCTACCCTCGTGTGTTTGGCCACTCCTAGCCACTATCTATAAGACTGCAACGCTGATGTTGGCGCTTGCGATTGAGATCTCCCTCCCACCCCCTTTTGTTTTTCACAATGTTTTCTTGTTTGTCCTTTTTTTGTGCTGCACGCGCACCCCCCTCCCTTGCGTGTGATTAGATGGTCAAGCGGAAATGCGAACCATTTCTGAACATTAGCAAGAAAAAAAGAAATTGCTTCATGGTGGGTACTTTCGGCGATATTTGCTGTGGAACTGTGTTTATTCTTTCTTCAGCGGTGCCCCGTCTTGGTGGTCTAGTGGCTAAAATACTCCGCAGCTGAACTGCAGGTCGCAGGATCGGATCCCGGCTGGGGTGGCTGCATTATTGGTGGAGGTGAAAATGCTGCTGGCTGATAATGCACCCATAGAAATGCAAATTGATACCTGGTCATAGGCGTGTGTAAGGGGGGGAGGGTGGCAAATGGGGTCGCCAAGTCAGTCCCATACATTGACACAATAGAGAGCGCTATGTCGAACCTTTCCTCCCTCCCTTCTGATAAGAAACCCTGCGCGTGCCTATGTACGTGGTGGTCATTGCATACTACGTTTAGTGGGTAGTTAGCTGCAGTCCCAGCAGGTTCTCTGTTTGTATGTACATATTAACAAGGCTTTACTGTAACAATTGAACATTAAGTGTGTGTGTGCCTGTGTACTGTTATGAACTTCATGCTGCAGCTAGCTTGGTACAATACCCTTCTCTATAAACGAAATTTGCACTGTGCTGACCAATATAAAAAATATACAGTGAACTTTCTTTAAGACAAACTCTGTTAAGACGAATTCTTGCTTGAGACAAACAACTCAGGGATGTTTGTTTGGTTTCCCGTAAACGCAATGCAAAAAGAAAAAATTCGCTCAAGTCGATCTTTCACAGCCATCGGAAACGACGGTAATTCTGCGCACGGAACATTTGTGTCTTGATGGGTGCATTCAGGCAAACAAGAGAAAGCAAAAAGAAAAAGACTCGCGACGCGAGAACTCTAGACTCGAAGCAAGTCAAAAGCAAACCTACGTGGAGGGAGAACATGAGATAAGTAAAAGTCAGTGCATGAAGCTGGTATCTCCCTCACCCCTAGCCTGTAGGTGAGGAAAGCGCTGGTTTTATCAGCAAAGAAATAAACAAAAAGTGTTTTCTCCTCAGGTTTTTCAGTACAGTGGAGATGGCAAGAACACAAGAGATTTATGAGAGGGGAAAATGCAAGAAAAAGGGGGGTGAGCCAAATGAAACAAGCCAAATGAAAGTGAGAACAGGATTGGAGATTGTGCATTATAATCACATGAAACTGAAACCACATGTGGCATTAACACTCCCTCCACCAGTGGAGTCAGACGCATTGTCATAGCCGTTACACAATGGAACATGTGGTCAGTTGGTGTTGTTTTGCGTAGGTCCTGTGTGCGTCTTATCTGTTCACAGTGGAATTCAGCAAATTCTGATGCGCCACATTCATTATGAAAGTGCACGACAAAGGAAGGTCATTTTGCACAATGAATAAAGCTATTTCGTGTTTTAGTGCGCCTGAGGCTTGTGATAATTAGTAGCGTTTATGAAGACTTTCAGCTGCATATCCTTCAGAAAAAGTTACTGCAGGCTGAAACTAAGAAAATATCAGAACCTGGGGGGGGGGGGGGGGGGGATTGAAAGAAAATCTTCTTTTGTTCGTTGACCTAGATAATGAACTTTGGCATGCATTCTCATAAGTGTCTTGAATAGGGAAATATGCAGTTTCATCATATCTTGAGTAGTTCTCAAGTTACATCATGCTACGTGGTTCGACTTATTGGTCTGCTCGTGAAAAGCCTAGCGCTGTAACAAAACATGCCGGGAAGCTGCAAATGGTGTTGATCTTTACTCAAAAGAAGATTATTGGGTATGACAATCTCAGAATTTTTTATCACTTCTCCCGAATGTAGTCAAAAAACGACTCCTTTCGGGAGCGTCTTCCATTTAAATAAGAGGTACGGGGGAAGCTTGTGCCCATCTGACGTGTAACAGAGCATTGCCATCACTGTAGTTTTACCGTCGACCGATGTCAGCACAACCCGATTTGCCCAAGCAGATAGCCGTTGTTGTGGCGCAAGTTTAGGACGAACCTCTCAAAACTGTGAAGCTTTTCATCGTACTCCTCTCAAAACTTTTTGCATATGCCCGTTCGCCTTCGGAGGGAAAAGCTTTTCCTCTTCATAAAGCTAGTTAGCCAGCACCTGCTCGCTTTAAACTGGCTCTGCATTAGCCCTTTTTTTATTCTAAGGCTAACTGCGTAGCCCGCACTTGGAGCAGTTCTATCGTGACGGGCCACTGTGCCGCTCGCTGCTCAAGCACATACTCGCCGAGCAGCTCCTTAATTTGCGGAAACCGACCCTGCTGTGGTCCACTGAAGCTTTTGCTCGAAGCTTTGCTGTCAACAATCTGCTTTTGTTTCCGCCATTCCCGCACGCACGTTTCGGGCACTCCGAACGACCGCGATGCGGCCCATTTCCGTCCGTTTCTACACACGCGATGACTTTTCTTTTAAAAGCGGCATCGTGGTGCACAATCCTTCCATGCAGTCGACGCTAATGCACTACAATATGACGAACTCCTCGCCACACATACGAAGTGCCGCACATGGGAAACATATAGGCAGAAATGGCCGACGCGCCATGCCGACTCACGTAGGGGGCAGCCATTTTGGATATGCCGATGGCAATAGAATGACCATATTCAGATTTTTTTTTTCATACTCGATTCTAACGTGCATGCAATTTATGAACTCGCTTAACCGGAAAAAAGGTGCGCCTTAGATTCGAGTAATTACGGTAGTCCAGGCGATCCATAAGTGATAGGCCGGTGCCTTCAAACGCGCCGCAGTGGCGGCGCACAAAGGCCAAGGCAGCTACGACCTCAGCTGATGTCGGTAGCGAGGCACCATCAGGGCTTGCAGGATCCACCTCGGCAGAGTCTTCATTTGGCTGCTCAGCAGTAGCTTCGGCGACAATCTCCACATTCGTGAGCTCCGCCGTTCGGAGTTAGGCCGAGAGCGCCACTTTAATGTAGCGGCGTACGCGCACCGCAGCCTTGCAGCTTGCAGTCTCTATGGTGTCAACGGCACACTGCGCATTTGTTGCAAGCTCCTCCCCCGTAGCATCGGCAGGCATCGGGTTGTGCTCGCAGTGTTCGTGCGTTCGGAGTTAGGCCTGTCGCGCGCTGTGGCCGATGCTACGGGGGAGGAGCTTGCAACAAATGCGCAGTGTGCAGCATTCGTAAACGCTCGCCGCCTGTCAATGGAGCGCGGGCGGTTTGGGTGGCTGAGTTCGATATATCCATTATATTTCAAACTTTGTTCGGAATAAGAAAATCAATAACGCATGCGATTTCCCACGTGATATAGAAACCGTTCGATATAGGCAATAATTCGATATATCCGTGTTCGATATATTGAGGTTTGACTGTAATTTATACCGACTCCCTCAGTGTGGTAATGGCTCTGCGAACCCCTTAAAAAAAAAAAACCCTGTCCTCGTCTCGCTTTACTCCATTTCATGCACACTCTACACACTCAAGCAACATGTTGTAGTGTGCTGGGTGCCAGGGCACCATGAGATCCAAGGCAACATGATGGCGAATCAGGCTTGCTGCATCTGTCCACGAAAGCACTGCCACTGCACCCATATCAATCCCGGCCCTTGATTTGAAGCCGTGTCTCAAACGAATGCTCAGGGACTACTGGCAGAGCAAGTGGGATAGACACACGCAAAACAAACTACACATTATTAAGCCACACCTTGGCCATTGACTGCTAGTATCAAAATCATGTCATACAGAGGTAATACTAACGAGACTCTGGATAGGACACACATACATGACACACACATATCTTTTGTCCGGTGGCAATCCACCATTGTGTGACAGATGTGGTAAAGCACTAACAGTTCTTCACATTTTAATCCAGTGCAAACAGTTAGACACTCTAAGAAAACAACACTTTTCATTACCGACAGCATATACCTTTACACCCTGCAATGTTCGTACACCCTGCAATGTTCGTCTGTAGGGAACCACTTTTTAGTCATAAATCATTGTTAGCGATTTAAAAGAAATTCGTAGTTTTCATATCATATACATGGGCTTTCCGTAGCACGACCTCTCCAGAGAGGTTTTCGCTGCAGTGGCTACACTCAACAAGCACTTGCCAAAGCACTCACGGCCCTTGGACGCAAGGGTATGAACGAGTGAGGCACTTGTGCTAATGCCATACATGTCCACCATCGTTTTCTATCATCACCAACTTTTGTCATCTATTCGCACCACACACACCTTTCACGGCATGGTCATGATTTTATTACTTGTATGTTTTTACCCGCCTTATCGCGACGAATTTTATGGCCCTTATACAGCCGCTTATCACAATCATTGTCCATATCTTTAGTAAGATGAACTGGTGCTCTTTGGCCATTAAATGGCCCTTGCGCCACAAAACATCAAACATCATTATCATGTCCTACACTTGAGTAATGCACAATGTCCAAAACACACTTTTGAGAAAAAGCCTGTCGAAGTTTCTGACATGCTTTTTTCAATTTTTTTTGTTTCTCATTGGATATTGATGACCATTGGCACAGACACTAAGAATGACCTCACAGTGGTTTCATAAAATAGGTACTCTGTTCTTGAAAATTACTATTTGCACATTTGTACTAGTTCACAGCCTGCGTTTTGTTTGACAATTTTGCAGGTCCAGGTCTTACAGCAGGTCTCGATCTCGCTCCCAGTCATCACACTTGGGCAGCAAGGGCAAAAGCCGGGACAGGTCACCCTACGAGATCATTGATGAAAGTCGGGAAAAGTCTCGAAGCAAATCGCCAGAGTGACTTCAGCTGCCTTGTTCCAGTGAATTCAAAATTTCTTTGCATCCTCTGAAATACTAGAGGAATTGGCTACATTACTTTTATTTTGCTGTAGCGCTTCTGACATCACTTGCGCTGGAAACTGCCTCTCAGTCATGTTTTTTTGGACCTGCCCATTGCAAGTTTTTTCATTGCATTTTCTGGTAAAAGTGCTTTTTTTGCTGAAGCTTTTTTTCAATGTACAAAACATTTTTGTGTTGCATCACTGGGCAGAGCTGTGTACATATGTTTTTCCTAATAAAACATGGTTCATCAGAACGGGATGTATCTTGTTAGCTTATTAGGTACCAGCATGACCACGGGATCATTTTTTGCGAAAGCTTTGAATTTTTGTTTAGCCCCGCCGCGATTGTCTAATGGCTAAGGTACTCGGCTGCTGACCCGCAGGTCGCGGGATCGAATTCCGGCTGCGGCAGCTGCATTTATGATGGCGGTGAAAATGTTAAAGGCCCGTGTGCTCAGATTTGGGTGTACGCTGAAGAACCCCAGGTTGTCGAAATTTCCGGAGCCCTCAACTACGGCGCCTTTCATAATCATGTGGTGGTTTTGGCACGTTACACCCCACATATCAATCAATGTCTGTTCTATGTCTCTATATCTTGCCACTATTCTTTTTATCCCTGCTTCCCCCACCCCTACAAGGCACTGCGCATATCAATTGAATTTTTGTTTATGAAATAGTGGCAAATATGGTTTAGTCAAGCGTAGTGTACGAAATAGTTATACATTTCTGTGCGTCAGCACTAAGCACACTTCTTTGTTGTGTGCGTCTCTGGTGTGTAATACCAAAATCCTGATGCTTGTCCCTGTAGAGTATCTGCACTACGCAATCTCCGGTGGAAATATGAAATAGATAACCAAGGGCTTGCTCACGAACAAACATTATTTTACGTTTCGCCATATTCCGTAATGGGATGGTGAAATGGTTTTGACAGTCATGCCACACAGTGGAGAGAGAAAAATCCTCATGGAGGATCAACAAATGTCTTGGCGCTTTCATGAGGCTATTGCGGGCCATGCCATTATCTGGCATACAGGCGGAGTGCTTTTGTTAGCCTTTTTCACCATAGAGTGGAAATATCCAACATACGAGTGTCTTGGTACGGTGCACAAACCAGGTTCACAGCAAAAATATCATTGCCGCTTTTCTAGTGAAATATGCCACAGTAAAATACATGGCGATTGGACATGTGTAGGCAAGTCTGCACCGCTTCAATAAGATTTATTGCATTAATGGTATTAAAAGACCCTTTGTAGGCAGTGTGTCATGGGCGACGCCCAGCCGTGATGATCGCGCACACACGCTGAGGCATGGCTGCTGACCATGTGTTTTTTGGACAATGTGTTTTTGGCTGTCGGCCGCCGATGTGTTTTTTGGGCGCGTCGATTAAAATTCTTTTTAGTAAACCCGGCTTTCTTTGGCAGTTTATTTTGTCACTGGTAAATTATCGGTCCTTTTCTCATCCAGTTAAATAACTGGGATCAGAAAAAATGCCGGGCCTGTGCCGAAGGTGCAGCACAGTCACAGCGACAGCTAGAAGAGTGGCCTTTCAGAGCCTTTATTTAAATACTCATTGTATAACTGCGGCAAGAACACCTGCTTGATGCCCACTACGGCATTAATAAAATTTTTAGAGCAGTAGGCCTGCATTCGCTCTGTTATTTTTCATCGTTTTTCTGAGAAGGGTGTATCCGCTTAACACTTGCAAGGAATTTTGTGCTAATTGTTCATGCAGTGGCCGACTACGATAAGGAATTATGCCTGAAGTGGGTATGTGCCACAGTTAATGGCTGACCAGGAAAATCTTTTGTAATGGGTCTGAGCATTGGATGACCCACATGCTACGCTATTCGCATTGTGCGAGGTCGTCTTAAAGCGTTTTATCAGTCGTATTAACGCGATTTCTTTCCCAACATCAACCTTGTCTAAGGCAAGCTTGCCATCAAGTTCCAAGCACTGGTGTGGCTCAGTGGTAGACTACAGGGCAGGTACCCAGTGGACCCGGGTTCAAGCCCCACTGTGTCAATGATGTTAGGTTTTTATTTTCTAATTTCATGCAATGTGGTTACGGACTCCGGCGGACAGCTGTATGTGACCGGAGTTGTGATCTAACAGCTTTCACTGTAAAATTTGGTTCAGTACTCCTAATATAATGTAGGAAGGTAGTGTTGGACTCAAAATAAACGTTTATTTTAAGCTACTTTCAAGCTCACTTTAATTAAGCGAATATGGGTCGGGGACATAGAAAACGGCAGCGTTTGGCGAGGACTATATATATATATATAAACATATTCTTGCTGACGATCGAGTCTATACTCCCTTTCACTGAAAATGTATGAATAAAAGGTGTGGAAAGACAGTGTTGGAATAACAATCAATGCGGCTGTGAAAGCGAGTGCAGGAACATTTACAGTTCAAAGGGGAAGATCGGGGCTGGTTAATGTAGAAGCCCCCTTGTGTAATTCCCTTACAAGAAAGGGGGACCATTAAGGTTTTAAACCGAGCTGAATGCGTATGAAAGCAGTTGCTTATAAACGAGCTGGAGCCAGCTGTTTGCGGCATGCGTATTTAGAAAAAGTCCTTTAAGGAATTGGAATACAGCCTTTATTGAAGAGAGAAAGAGACGATCAACACAACAGATGAAGTATGCTCTATCAAACAATCGATCCAGTTGACAGGTTCAGCAAGGTAGACCTTTGAGCGAAATTTGGATCACCGTCGGCTGCGTGTGAAGTACTACACAGAACATGAATGCATGCGGATAAAACAGTAAGTACGTAATGTCTTGTTTCCTCCATATTGTCATGCACTCGTCAATCAAACGGAGTAAGCTGCGCCTTACTTCACCCGTGTTCTATCTTCGACTAACTAAATCTAGGTGCAGATTTACATCACTAACGCAGCTTGCTGTGCGAGTTTCTTCAAAATATCCGGAAGAAGAATCCAACGAAAGAAACGAAGACAGCAAAGGAGAACAATCGGCTATCACGATACCACGCTATTTTACCGAAATTCCCGCCTAACGTATCCCCCGCCACATAAATCTCTCTCCAGAAGTGACCAGGCTTTGTGGCGCAGACTTCAAACGCCCACAGTAACGACTCCTCTCCCTTTTTACACATGGCCAAAACTCGCCTCATTGCAACTTATGTCCTAGCACCAGAGCCGACTTCCAGCACATATTTCTGAATTGTCCAAACAAACCCAAGCCTCCGTGGCAAGGGTCAGAACACCAGGAGCGATGGGAGGCTGCTCTGCGTAGCTGGCAACCGGGTTTACAGCTCCGGACAGTGAGCTGGGCCAAAAGGGTCGCCGAAGCACAGCAGTGTCCGGCCACCTAGAGCGGCCCGAGGGCTCGTCGTCATCCTGATTCCACTTCCCCAACCACACCCCCCCTCAAATGATTCCTTCGTGAATCGATAAAGTTGATTACCTACCTACCACAGAGAGCAAGCATCGGACTTCAAACACAATGTTTATTGCAGAAAGCCCACCCACACAAAACCCAGCAACGCGTGCATAAATTATGCTATCAGAGTCATTTCACAGTTGCACACCTAACAGTGCAAGTGGTGCGATTATATAAAAATTCCAAATCCGGACAAAGGCGGTCTGTTCCATTGAGTCGCACGCGATTGGCCTATACGAGTCGTGACGAATGCTGTGACGTTCTGAGTGACGTGTGCGGGGGTGTCACGTGACTGTTTTTGTCCGGTTTTCGGAGGAAGGCGAAGGAACGGTCGGCGAGACCGTTTGAAAGGAACCGATTGGACTGAAATGGTTGCAAGGTGGCCTGAATCGGATTGAAATGTGAGGGCTTCGCGACTTTTCAGCATCCGGGCACTTGGACAACATGGCGTTTCCCACTGCCACGGTTTTTCGTCTCGCCTGTGCGGCAGCTGCAGCCAAGCAGAGACGACGAAGCGAGGTTAAAGATGCATTTGAAAAGTTCACCGAAGAAAAGTTACGGCAATGTTCTCGTCTCTCCGAATGAACAGTCCGTAGCTTGTGCGACGAACTTGTCCCTGTCATCTGACACCAGCGAGCCAGTGGCCTTTCCACAGAGAGGAAAGTGTTGTGTGCACTGTGATTTTTCGCCACCGGTTGCTTCTAGAGGAGCGTTGGTCGCGAGGAGCACATCGGCAAGTCTCAGCCGGCCGTGAGCAACACTATCCACGAGGTGACGCAGGCCATCACCGTGGCTGCTAGGAAAAAGCTGGCGGACTTCCCACTGACAACAGCTACTAACGATGAGGCAAAGGCGGAGGTTGTGCTACGCGGTTGCATCCCAGGCGTGCTGGCGTGTGTCGATGGCACGTTGGTCACCATGCACAAGCCATTGGAATTCAGACTGGCCGAAATGGCGAGTTTCATGTCCAGAAGGGGCTTTTATGTCCTGAACGTCATGATCGTAAGTACCGTTAGGATCCTTTCTTACTCGCATTTCAGAGCAATTGTTCAGTTGTGACGCCAAAGCTGGAAAAAGTAATAATGCAACGAATGAAAAAGAACCTGCAGGGAATTGGGTGCGAGCTAGTTGGTGGCTCGCAAGGCCTCGGTAATAATAAGTGGCAAGTGTTTTGTGCGTTAGCCAGTTGCCGTTTTGCACTGGCATGCATGCGCAATTGAGTTGTGCATTTTAGAAGTAATCGGTAATATGGGCAGCAGACGTAGCAGAAATATTTACACGACAGGGAAGTATTATTTACACGACAGGGAAGTGTAAGCACACGAAAGTGCTTACAATCACAATTGCACGAGCTGGCTTTGGCATTTACGAGTGTTGTTTCCCAAGAGCAATGCGTAGGTTTTCACTTATCGCTTATTCAGTGGAAGTCGTGGCCATGTGTACAGCAGAGGTGGGGTCGTTGCCCCCACCCTCCCCCCTCCTCAGTGTGCTACTCCCTGTGTTTCCTTCTAAGTGAAGTTCCTTGTACCAATGACTGTACTAGTACGCATTGTTTCCTGCGTATGCATAGAAAAAAGGGATTTATTCTGAGTATAAATGCAGTACTATTTTTATCGCTCCTCATCGCAGGTGTGCAAAGCTGCACATAATTGTCATGGACCCATGATTCCCAGATTCGTGCCATGACTCCTGAGTGTGAGAACACAACCCACTGCGTACACGCCTAGCTGCACATCTGCAGCCTGGCGAATATCTGCTTGGTAAGTATTAATGTGTACTATCTGGGCAGAGCACTCAGCTTTTATGCTTATATTGCAGGAGACGTAGGCTATCCCCTCAAGCCATGGC